TTGGAGAGCGGCCTAGTTCTCGTCCAGTGCTGTGCGTCAACAACAAGGCTGCCATTGCCTTGTGTTAGGAGCACAGACTAGAGCACAGAACAAAGCACATCGCTCTCCGTTACTTCCTTGCTCATGACCTTCAGCAGCGTGGTCAGCTTTGTCTGCGCTACGTGGCCTCTCAGGCCAACACCGCTGATGTTTTCACCAAGGCACTTCAGCCTGGTGATCATCAGCGCTTCTGTATTTTGTTGGGGCTAGTGCCCACTTTGTCTCACTTGTTGTAGGCTTTGCCTGTACTGTGATCTCTATATATACTTCTGCCTGTTTGCTCTGCTAGGTTGAGATCACTCTTGCTATCTGTAGTATTTATATATATACCTCTGCATGTGAGCTGGTCTTGTGGCCCTTTGCTTGTGCTCGGAGTGTGTGGTGACGTTGTGATCCACCCTGAACTTGCTTGCCTTTCTTGACTGGTCTTGTGACCCCTTGTTCTCCCCCACTTTGCCTATGGGGGTGTGTCAAACATTATATGTGTTGTTATTGTGTAGGCTATAGTGGGTTAGCCTTTAGGGGGTACATAAAGTTAGGGTTGGCCATTTGTACTCCAACTCTCATAGTGCAATCACTCCTCTCATTCTAACACAACCCCCTACAGCCCCTCGTACCGCCCTCCTCACGCCACACCCCTGGGTCTGGCATGGCCGCACAGCAACGTGCGAGAGGTTCATGTCTCCTTGCTTCCAGTTTCTGTTTCTTTTTGCTTCCATAATCTGCTTCTTGCTTCCTGCCCCTGCTTTTTCCTTCCTGTTTCAAATTCTGCATCTGCTTTCTCTTCTCTGTTTCTGCCTCTGTTTCCGTCTTTTCCCGTTTCTGTTTCTGCTTCCGTTGCCTTGCTCGGAATGCAAGTGGGGGACGAGACGAGGAGCAGAGCAGGGCACACATCTCATCGGGGTATAGGGTGCGACAAGAGACGCACCTGTGAGTGAGTGAGTGAGTGAGCGGGTGAGGAGGTCCCTGAGCTGCCCTCCCCACACACCACGGCTTGCCCCAAACCCCCCCTTAGCCTCCCCCCTCCCCCAAACCCCTCCCCTCCTCCCTGCCGAGTCACCGGCAGCGCCTCGTCACGTCACCAGCAGCGACGCCAAGTCACCGGTAGCGCACGCCACGTCACTCCCAGCACCTTCCAGGAAACGCGGAGCTGGCGGTGGTACAAGGGGAGACGGGGGAGGTCAGAGTGGGGGATGGGGCGGGGAAGGTGAGGGAAACGAGGGGGGAGAAGCGGAGCGGGGGGAGAGGACGTGGGGCATGGGGAAACAGTGCAGTGAGCAGTGGGAGATGGGGAAACAGTGGAAAAGGTTATTACAGAGCTTTCTTGTTTCCACCTTCATTCTTACATGGATTGCCCTTGTTTGTTCATTGGCAACGCCACGTCATTGGCAATGTCACGCCATGTTGCTGCCACGTCATCGCCAAGCCACGTCACCGGCAGCGCCACGCCATGTCACATGCCACGTCACGCCAGGCCGCGTCACTCCCATCAGAGCCACGCCACGTCACATGCCGCCGGCAACGCCGTGCCACGTCACTGCTGGCGGCGCCCATGCCACGTCAGCGGGAAACTGCGGTAAACAGTGGGAAACGGTGGAAAATAGCGAAAAACAGTGGGAAACAGCAAAAAACAGTGGAAAACATCGGAAATCGGCATTCCGCCATGCCTGCAGTGCGGAATCAACATTCCGCCATGCATGCAGCGCGGAATCGGCATTCCGCCATGCCTACAGCGCGGAATCAACATTCCGCCATGCCTGCAGCGCGAAATCAACATTCCGCCATGCCTGCAGCGCTAAATCAACATTCCGCCATGCCTGCAGCGCGAAATCAACATTCCGCCATGCCTGCAGCGCGGAATCGACATTCCGCCATGCCTGCAGCGCGGAATCGGCATTCCGCCATGCCTGCAGCGCGGAATCGGCATTCCGCCATGCCTGCAGCGCGGAATCAACATTCCGCCATGCCTGCAGCGCGGAATCGGCATTCCGCCATGCTTGCAGCGCGGAATCAACATTCCGCCGTGCCTGCAGCGCGGAATCAACATTCCGCCATGCCTGCAGCGCGGAATCGGCATTCCGCCATGCCTGCAGCGCGGAATCGGCATTCTGCCATGCCTGCAGCTGGTAAGAAAGTAATGCCTACGAACCTGTTAAGAAATCAATGTTAAGAAATGAATCCGCGGCTGTTTGGGGCGCCACGTGGAACATGGTCGCCAGACTAGGTAAAAGCGATCTAAGGAATCAGTATTTCGTCATGCCTGCAGCGCGAAACATGGTACAAGGCAACGGGGTTGATTGGATTCAAAGGAAGGCGAGGTAGAAACGATCTAAGCAATGAGTGGCGCTGGTCGTGGGAGAGGTAGGTGATGGCGGGGAACATGGTGGCCAGACGGGTTGCAAGCGATCTAAGGAGTGAGTGGTGAGGTGAGTGGAGCGATCTAACTAAAGGAGTGACATACGGTAGTGGCGCTGGTCGTGGGAGTAGTAGGTGAGGGCGGGGAACAATAGTAGTAGGCGACGGGGTTGATTAGATTCTTAGGAAGGCGAGGAGGTGAGGTTGAGGTGAGGTGAACAAACAAAGGTCCCCTTGCGCTGTCCACGGAAAAAACAGAACACGAGAGGTGGGTGGGTGGGGGTGAGATTGGAAGAACATTTCGCACCCACCCGAAATATCGAGAGTGCTATTCTGAGCTGAAAAAATCAAGTGTACCAAACTTTCGCTAGGGGAAATGGAACGTGGGGGCCATCTGAAATGTCTGCCCCAATCAACAAGTGCAACTATGAAATAGCGAAGACCTGGATGTGTCAACAGAAGGAAACAAAAAGGGCAGGGACGAAAAGCACAAAACAAAATACAAGGAAAACGCCCTGAGAACGAGACTGGGATGTGCGATTCGTAGGGAGGAAAAACCAATCAGAAACAAACAAAACCGTGGTACAGCACACCAAGCTGCAAACCAAAACGCCCTGCGCTGCGACAAACCCTAAAACGAGTGCGCGGAGAAGCTCGCCCGCGCGCAGGTCAGTTCGCCCACATCATAAACGAATGTGGTCACAAAAACGATTTGCGGTGTGTGTTGGGGAATATATTGCACTGCCTGCAAGTAGGCAGTGCAATCAAGTCAGCAAGCTGACCGCGGGCAAGAAAAAAACTAAAACCCATCCGGATGGCATGCCATCCGAGGGAGCCTCAACCCTAGAATTTTAGGGTTGAGGCTCCGGAATGGCATGCAGTCCATATGGGGTTTATTTGTTTTGCCCGCGGTCAGCTTGCTGACTCAGTCGGTAGCGCTCGGTAGCGCTACCGAGCGCTACCGGGCGCTACCGGCGTCAGAAAGTGAAAATTATTGAGTAGTGTGCGGCCCGTTTGCAGCTTCTTTACTGTGTCGCGTCGGACACGGCGGTCAAGACTATACCTCCTGTTACAAGTCACCAGGTTGGCACAAACAGTTAAAAGATTGTAACGTTGTTATGTAGTCGTTTTATTTTCCTATTACCAAATTCAGATTGTTCACTTGCAATGGTCTGCTGGTAGCTATAGGTGCTTGTTCTTTGACCATACTTACACCTGCACTAGCTAATTCATCATCCTCATTATACATTTGTGCCAGGGTTTAGCTCACCATTGTGTCGCTTCTCATGCTTGTTGTTGAAATTGTCCTTGCAAGGTTGCGCTTCTTCCTGCCAAATGTCACACCCACACGACATCTGGGACAGTTCACATAGCATTGTGGATGATGAGAGAGAGATTGCCATATTGTGTGTTGCACTGCCAAACAACGTTGCGCAAACCGTACCGTGTCTTCCCATCCCACTGAAAAGCACCTACGTTTCGCCTCGCCCCGTCATTGCCGGCAACGGCACTCGTCGCCCCGTTACTGCCGGCAGCAGCACACCATGTCACCGGCAGCAATGGGCAGGGACATGGGAGGAGCAGATTGTGCTCTTTCTCCATATTCGAGCACGGAGGAAGGCAAGGCAGCTATCAGTACAAGCACAAGAGCATCGGCACTAGATTCTGAAACAATGGCTCTATCTCGTGACATGGTGATGCTTTTCATTACCGAAACAATTCATGATCAAAGAGTCAAACTTAGAATCAAGTGATGGCTTCACTGGTGTCGCATGGGTGGGTGGGATGGGATGGGATGGGATGCTGTAGGGTGTGGGTGGGGACTCAGGAAGGTAGTGGTGGTGGCAGTAGCCGTATGAGTGCATTGTACAGAAACTGAACATAAACATCTAAGGGGCCAGGGAAACAGTAATGTAAGCAGTCAGTTTTATTCCTGTTTGGCATGAAGGCGTTGTGCCCATCAGCTCTCAGCCCCACCATCTCCTCCACATCCAAATACACCCCTCCAACCTGCTCCACCAACTCTTTAGCCACTAGGTTTTGCTTGGGGAATTCACCCCAGTTAAACGGCAGACTCCCCAACTCTTGCCGCTTTTCCAACGGCCTTTCGTAATCTCCGCAATCCTTGTGCCCAGGAGGGGTGTTCCTGTAAATAATCAGCTTATCCGGAAAATTATGCCGAATAAACCGCAGAGCGTTTCGTACGCCGGAAATGAAAAGAGGTGTAGGGGTCCAGTGGGGGCCTCTGTTTAAAACGATGACGTCTGCAGAGGGGATATCTGCTACACCAGGCTGGCCCCATGGCATGTGGTCGAATACAGCTCCCTTTGGATCGAACAGCGATAAATGGTCGTTGCGAACAAAGTCAACCTTAAAGCCCGGGCATACCGAGGAGTTGAAAGTGAACCTGGAAACAGGAGGGGTGTGGGTGAGGGAGGGTGCGGAAGGAATTGATGAAACAGTGGTTGAGCAAATATGCAAAGCAGTCAGTATTTTGCAACCCCCACGCCATGCGGTAACAAATGCCTGCACCATCGGTACTGCTTGGCTTGGAATCCCCCAGGAGGCTTGGCATAAAACTCACCTTTGACTCGCTATAAGGTGACTCACCATTGGCAGAACTCATGCCCCATTTTAGCTGCATTCCCTCCCAGCGCATCCACACACGCCTTTGGCCGCTCCTCCAGATTCACCAACTCTTTTGCAGGCTTCCTCTTTCCCTTCCACCCCCACGCCATGTGGTTGACAAACACCTGCACCATCTGGTACTGCTTTGAGTCTCCCAGGAAGAGGATTCGCCGGCCCCGCCCCACCCTCTCGCAGAAGACTGACGCGTTGAACAGCAGCCAGGGGTTTGACAGATTTACTGCTGCTGCAGCCGCCGCCGCCGTTGCTGCTTTTGCTGCTTCCACAGCCGCTGCAGCTGCTGCTGCCGTTTTCTCTGCTGCTGCTGCATCCCCCGTTCCATTCTTCTCCAACTGGGATCGCAAAACTCGCTCCTTCTCCTGAGCATCTTTGAGTCGTGCCTTAACTGTTAGTTCAAAGGCTTTAATCTCCTCGGGCACTTGAGGCGACGGGCATGTGGAGGGCCCAACCACCCACTCGTACTTCACCCCCTCGCGCACCGTCCACCCCGCCTCACTCGCCCCTGGCTTCATGGCATATGCATCTGCACTAGCGTATGCCATGTGGGTTGAGTTTAGACTTAAGTGTCTGTTATCGCAATAATTGCTCACCCCCCGGTAATCCCACGGGAGGGTTCGGGGTTTTGAGTTGAGGACCCACTTGCCTTTCTGGGCAACACATGCTGACCATTCCTTCCATTTTTTAACCTGCCCCTGCCCGTGGATCAAGGAACCGGGTATGGATGCTTTCCCAAGGGCAGCTCGCGCTGCCCGGCTGCCTCTGGGCAGCGCCGGGCTGAAAAACACTTCCGTCGAGAGGGCTTGCATGACTTGTGCGAGCACGAGCCGGTCACATGAAAGCTTTTTGGGCTGCCCGGAAACGTTGAGTAGCTTGCAGAAGAGAGTGTGGTGGCGAAGGGAGAGGGAGTGAGAGAGAGCACGGTGGGAGGAGGAGGGATGGGAGGAGGGTTGAATCTCGAGCACGACAGCAGCAGGCGGCATGAAGAGAATGAAGTCCAGAGCCTCCCCTGGTGGCGCGATGAGGAGGAGAGCGTGAGAGAAGATAGCCCTGGCTGTTGGGCGGGGAGGGGGGAGGTAGGGGCGGGGGGAAAGGGAGGGTTTTGGACAGGTGCATGTGCTCTTGAACACCTCCCCCCCTCCCCGCCCGCCCCCCCCCCCCTCCCCCCTCCCCCCCAAGGAAAAAAAAAAAATCGAGCACTAGTTTGATTTCCCCCTTACTCACATTCCCTCTCTCCAAACAATCATTGCTTGCTTGCCGTCTCATCACCTCCTCATCCGCACTAAACCGAACCTAGTTTTGAGGCGCCTCGAAACCATACCCCATCCCAGCCCTCCCACCCTCATCCCTCACCCCCCCATTACTTACTCACTTCCTCGCTCACCTCCCTTCAAACCCATCTCACCGTCTCACCTTCCTGCACGCCCATGGTTCCTCGGAAGTAAACCACCCGGCCGTTCCACCAGTTATCTTGGATTACGCCATCGACCATCTCCTCCATCTTATCCAATAGCATCGCGCCAGGTGGCACCGCCACCACCACCACCCAGTCCTCCCCAACCATCCCCCTCACCCCCGCGAATCCGTCCCCATCTGCGTCAACAGTCGCCCCTCCCGGACCATTTGCCATGTCAGCTGAAACGTCAGCCTCCACATCAGTGGAGACGGTCCCGCCAGGTGGCGGGAGAGGGACAGGTGGCGGGCGGCGGAGCGTCCAGTTGGCATGGAAGAGGGGAAGGCCTTCAGGAGGGAGGAGGTGATGTGAGCGAAGAGAGGAGAGGAGAGCAGGGGAGGGGCGGTTGCAGTGCTGGAAGCAAGGCTGGGGGGGGGTTGGGATGGGAGGGGGAAGTGGGAGGGGAATCGGGGGGCGGAAGAGAGGGAAACGGGAGAGGGGGCATGTTTCGAAGAGAGGAGAGGAGCGAGGGGGAGGGGCGGTTGCAGTGCTGGAAGCAGGGCTGGTGGGAGAGGGAACGGGGAGAATTTGGGAGAGAGAAAGGGTAGGTAGAGGATGATTTGAAGGGAGGAGAGGAGTGCGGGGGAGGGGCGGGTGCTGTGTTGGAAACAGGGCTGTGTGTAGAGTGTGGTTAGGGGAGAAGGGAGGGGGAAAGGGGAGGGTGGGAAAGGGTGGGGGAGAGGGGGAGAGGAGAGGGGCGCAGGGGAGGGACGGGTGCAGTGCTGAAATCACTTTTGAGAATTCTCATAAGTGATTTCAATATAGACGGGTGCAGTGCTAGAAGCAGGACTGGTGGGGTTGGTGGGGGGTTTGGTGAGGAAGGGAGAGAGGAGGGGGGAGGAGAGGAAAGGGGCGATAGCAGGGCGGGACAGGTGGCATTGCTGCAAGAGCAAAGCAAGAATTCAGAGACAAGTGTTGGGGAAAGTGGTGAGGAATGTCGGTGCCAACCAAATCAGCAGAGATTGAATGAATGAATGGCACCCGCACCAGAAATCACCTGAATTGGTTAGCACCTGAATGAGCCTTTGCACGAATAGCAGGTGGGTTGGCTTGTCTGGTTGGGGCAGCAGAGTGACTTGATGCGGTGGGGCTCCCAGGTAGTGTGGTGCCATGACGTGCAGCCACTGGTGGGGTGGGAAGGGATGGGAGTAGAGGAGTCAGGGAGATATGAAGTGAAATATGGAAAGAAAAGAGGGTGACTTGATGCGGTGGGGCTCCCAGGTAGTGTGGTGCCATGACGTGTAACCACTGAGAAGGGAGGGGAAGGATGGGGATAGAGAAGGCAGAAGGGATGGGATTAGAGAAGGCAGAAGGGATGGGGATAGAGAAGGCAGAGAGATCTGAAGTGAACTAGGGCTGTGAGGCAAGAGGTGGGAGTGAATAAGGCAGGGCTCCCAGGTCGTGTGGTGCCATGACGTGCAGCCACTGGTGGGGTGGGCAGAGGTGACTTTTGAGTCGACTCAAAAGTCATCTCCCAGGTAGTGTGGTGCCACGACGTGTAACCACTGCAGCACGGGAAGGGAAGGCAAGGAAGGACAAGGGAGGGATGGGCAAGGCACGGTACAGGGAGGCAAGGAGGGAGCGAGACTTGATGAGGTGGGGCTCCGATGTAATGTGGTGCCATGACGTGCAACCACTGCAAGGAAAGGGATGGATGGAGTAAGGAAGGACATGCGGAGAAGGCAGAGAGATCTCAACTCAAGTGAAATGAGGCAAGGAGAGGGATTGAATAACCGTGACATGGTGACTTGATGAGACGGGACTCTGATATAGTGTGGTGCCATGACATGCAGCCACTGAATGATGGGCTGTGTCATGGCACCTCATAATGGGATGCCATGACTGCACACACTGCAAATATTACACATTTGCAGGTGGGATGCACAAGGCGGTGGAAGAGTAAGGGTTGGGGGGGAAGGGAGGAGAACGTAGGAGAGAAGATACGAGCAGGGGAAGAGGAAGGGTTGGGGGGCCGGGGGACGAGGAGAGCAGAGGAGAGAGGAGGGAATAGCAGGAGATATGCGAGGCATGCTTGTCTCACCTTGCGAGGCATGCTTGTCTCACCTTGCGAGGCATGCTTGTCTCACCTTGCGAGGCATGCTTGTCTCACCTTGCGAGGCATGCTTGTCTCACCTTGCGAGGCATGCTTGTCTCACCTTGCGAGGCATGCTTGTCTCACCTTGCGAGGCATGCTTGTCTCACCTTGCGAGGCATGCTTGTCTCACCTTGCGATCCTGCACGAGGAATCGAGCCCCTTCAGCCATGAGTTGAGGGAGGAGAGAGGAGAGGGGGAGGAAGAGAGGGAGGTGATGCACTAGGTGGTGGATGAATGAGGCCCGTGGGGGAGAAGAGGAGGAGGAAGTGAGTGTGTTGGATTTTGAGGGAGGGGCGGCTAGGTTGATGGCGAGGGGATGAAAGGTGACTGGTGTTGATGCCGGGTATGTGAAGGGCTGAGCTGGCATGGCATGCAATCGCACATGCAATCACATGCACAGCCGCATGCATTCACACATGCATACAAACATTCGGATGCAATCATTCAAATGCAAGGGCAAATCCACACAATGTAAAAGTGAAGGAAACGATGGAAGGTGGAGGAGAAAAGTGACTGTGCGCCATCAGTCAGTCTTTTGAGGTGTGTTTTGAGTCGACTCAAAACACACCTGAATGTGTGCCATCAGTCAGTCTTTTGAGTCACATTTGGAACTTCGTAAAAGCAACTCTCAGAAGTGACCTCTTTTTGAGTCGACACTGAAGAGTTGTGAATGTATGCCATCAGAGACAATAATCATAACGAATCAAGCTCAATAAAGCAAAAATAATGAAACCCACTACATGCATGCATGTGTGCAAAGGTAAACCCACTGGGATGAACGTGCACAGAAGCAATCAGAAGAGATTACTTTGAAACATGCCAAACGGAACAAAATGGAAGATGAACGCCCATTCTTGTAAGCAGAAGCCCTTAGGTGACCATTCCACACTCAACCGCATCTCACCACACTAAACCACTTCTCACCTCACTGAGATCCTTGCACCTGTCGCATCCCCTTGGCCAGATGAGGTGAGAGGAGTTCAAGACCCGCCCTTGTCCCATGCCCGCCACACCATCTCCCAGTTACCTCGTCTCACCGCACTAAACCGCACTTCACTGTACTCAACAGCACTCAATCGTTTCTCACCTCACTGAGCGCCCTCCTCCTGCCGCACCCGCCAGGCCAGAAGAGGTGAGAGGCGTTGAAGACCCGCCCCTGCCCGTCCACCCACACGCCCCTCAACTCCACCACCCGCCCCGCCCACCCCCTCCCCCCCCCATACCGCACCCCCTTCCCTTCTCCCTCACCCCCTACCTCCTCCACTTCCTCCTCCTCTGCTCCGTCCCCTTCCTCCTCTCCCTCCTCCCCTGGCCCTTGCTTCCCCTCGCCGTTTCTCCCTTCCCATGCCTTTAGCCCGTCCTCTGGAGAGGCTATGGCAAGGGAGCAGTTGGGCAGTAGCACCATGCCTGGCGTGATTTGCTGTGAGCTGATGGGAGGGCATTTCAACCGCACTGCACCACTCAATCCTCCTGATCCCTGCAGCCCTTCCCCTGTGCTCTTCTCCCCCGCTAAACGCCTCCTCGTTGACGTTTCAGGCACTGATGGTGTAGCAACAGCTGCTGTTGATGAATCTTGGAGGTGCCTCAGAAACCCTTCTCCTCTGCCCTGCTCCTCCACCAACCGCCTCCTCATTGGCGTTTCAGACGCTGAAGGTGTAGCAACAGCTGTTGCGGATGAGGCAGCATGAGCTAAGAATTCATCTTTGGAGATCGATGGACTGCTGCTAGTGGCGCTTGCTGTTGATGGGGCAAGAATTGCTGCTGCTGATGAGCTGGCATTACTTGCTAATGATAAGGCAGCAGCTTGGGGGTCTGATGGGCTACTGATAGCGGAAGCTGCTGATGTGTCACCAGCACTCACACTGGCATTGGCACCTGTCGCATTGAGACGGGGTTTTATTGGAGTAGGATCGTCGTGATTCGCTGCTGAATCGTTTCTGCCTGGAACCTTAATTCTTCCGCCGTTTTTATTCATCAGCCCGTCCACGAATTCCAGGTTCCAGCACGCCTGTATCCCCTGCCCGCATTCCGAAAATTCAGGGCAAATTGCGCCTTCACACTCCAAATTCGGCAACGCCACCTGCTCCCTCCGCTTCTTCCCTCCCTCGTCTCCCCCTTCGTCGTCTGTAATCACATCTACTCCGGAAACTTCTGGGAAGAAATTCAGGCTGAGAAGCGCCAGCTGGCTGCGTGTGATTGGCTGCTCAAGGCGCCGGACCTCCCGCGATCTATGGCGGCCCAACCCGCCGCGTCCTGCGGCGCCTAGCGCGGCGGACATGCCGTCTGCGCTGCTCTGCGAGTCGCCAGGGTCGCCTGCCGCCAAAGCTCGTCGCACGGATGTCGCATGATCGTGCAGCATGGGCGACGGCGAAACTCGCTGGTTCCGCCATGGGTCCTCGTCCCAGTCAGTCTCCCCGTCCCAACCCTCCCCGCCTTCCCCGCTCTCCCCGCCTTCCTCGGTCTCCCCATCCCGTCCATCTGGTCGTGCGACTGAAACTGTCGCACGATGTCGCGAAGGCTGGGGAGGAAACGTCGCAGGCGACGCGGCGAAAGCGACGAGGGAGAAAGTGAGTTGTAGGAGGAAAGCGGAGCGAAGAAGCAGGATGGCATGGGATTTACGACGCGTAGGCATTCGGGAACGCACTAGACGGCGTGGAGCGGTAGTTGATCGATGGCTATATGTGTGCCAGCCCATGGCTTACTGAGAAGAACGAGGTTCAACGAGGAAATCAATCTGTTAAACGAGGAGCCTTGGAGACCACACGAGTTCCACGGGCGTGCGTGCATTGGCAAGTTTTCCTTGCAGTGTCACCTTCCTGTAACTTTTTCAGAAGGACGGTGATTCCAAACGACATGAGGCTGCACTTCCGGTCGAAATCTTTCAAAAAAACAAAACATTTCACAACTTCCACATGATGATCCCGCATCGGAGATACGCCCTTGAAGTGTCAGAATTCTGTCTTCGATTTTCCCTCGATGATCTGGTGGAGAAATGTACTACCAAGCAGGTTGGAACATTTACCACACTTGACCACGCATTATCCTACTAAGAACTACCAAACTGTGTATCGCCGGTAGTCTTCCAACCTGTGTACGGATTTACAGAATCCTTACTGGGGCACTCGTTAGCGAGGCCATCCCGAGGGTCACGGGACGAACCTGTCCTTCCTATTTCGTCGCACCGAACCACTCCCGAGTCGCCTCCGCACCAAACGAAACCATCACCGAGCCATCCTCGCCCAACCTCTCCGCCTAGCTAGGACTTCCCCTATTTAGGCCTCGTCACTTCCATTGTATTCTGTGTGAAATCAAAGAACGAGAATGAATGACTATGAAGTGAAGTGAATACAAATAGGAAACCCTAATTGTGTTGTACCCCCTATGGGATACCCCACTATAGCCTACAGAAACAAGTAAGCTATATGTTCTGACACACCCCCATAGGCAAAGTGGGGGAGAACAAGGGGTCACAAGACCAGTCAAGCAAAGCAAAGCAAAGCTCAGGGTGGATCACAAAGTCACCACGCATTCCGAGCACAAGTTCAAAGGCCAGAAGGCCAGTTCACATGCAAGATCATATATAGAGATATACAAGAGTCAAGCAAGCAAGAGCAAGAGTATATATAGGCGAAGGTACAAGCAAGGTCAAGAGGAGAGCAAGTGAGGCAAGACAGGCACAAGACCCAACTGCGTGCAACAACGCTGATGATCACAAGGCGCAAGTGCCTTGGTGAAGACATCAGCAGTGTTGGCCTCAGAGGCCACGTACGCAAGTCGCAACTGTCCACGCTGCTGTAGCTCACGAGCAAGAAAGTAGCGGAGAGCAATGTGCTTCGTTCTGTGCTCCAGTCGCTGCTCTCGACACAAGGCCAGCATGGCCTTGTTGTCTACGTACAGGACTGGAGGAGAACGAGGCTGCTCTCCAAGGTCGGTCAGCAGGTAGGTGAGCCAGCGTAACTCCTGTGCAGCCATGGCCCCGGCGTAGATCTCAGCCTCACAACTGGAGCCGAGAACAGAAGACGAGCGAGTAGCCCGCCACGAAACAGAGCCGGAACCAAGGCTGAAGGTGTAACCCTGTGACGACCGCTGCGTAGCCTGGTCGTCTGCCTAAGAAGCGTCCGCGTGCCCAGTGAGGACCACTGGACTCCGCCCTCCAAGCACTAGCTCCATGCCCGACGTACTGCACAAGTAGCGCAACACCCTCTTTGCTGCAGCCATGTGCTCTGGTCTGTGTCTCCCAGGAGCAACATAGCGTGCGAGAATGCTAAGAGGGTATGCAAGGTCAGGCCGTGTGCAGTTCATCAGGTACATGAGGCAGCCAACAAGCTCTGGGTGCGGGCCACTCGACTCTACGGACTCATCCGAAGGCAGAGCTGAGAGCGAGTGGCGAGTAGACAGAGGAGTGGCCTGAGGCGAGGAGTACGTGAAGCCGAAGCGCTGAAGGACCTGCTGCACCATGTGTGACTGAGTCAGGGTAATGGTGCGGCGTGCTCTGTCCCGGGTGATCTGCAAGCCAAGGTAGCTGCGCAGTTCACCCAGGTCAGTGCACGTGTGTCTCTTCTGCAGCTCGGACTTCACGTAGGCGAGTCCAGCAGTGTCAGCTGTGGCAAAGACCAAGTCGTCGACGTACACGAGGATGTAGAACGGCGGCAGAGAGGTGTCGGTGCGCAGAAACAGCGACGGGTCGGCAGTAGAAGGAGCAAACCCAAGTGCCGCGAGCGTAGTCCTCAGTGTGTCGTGCCACTCACGTGGCGCCTGGCGGAGACCGTAGACTGGACGCCGGAGACTCCACTGGGTACAAGGAGGGAAAGACCCAGTGAAGCCAGGTGGGCGACGCAGCCAGATCTCCTCGTGCAGGCTGCCCTGCAAGAAAGCTGTGCTGAAGTCGAGAGAGTGCAGCTCGTAGTCACGGTGAGCAGCAACGTGCAGCAGGAACCGAAGAGTGGTCATCTTCGGGGTGGGGGAGAAGGTCTGAAAGTAGTCAACCCCCTGCCGCTGACTGAAGCCACGAGCCACGTAACGCGCCTTGAAGACAGGCGGAGAACCCGGCGGCCGCTTCACCCTGAAAATCCACATGCCACTGACGATGTTCGCCCCAGGAGGGGGAACAGCGTCAACGTAGGTGCCTGTGGACTTCCAGGAAGCCATCTCTGCATCCATAGCTACCTGCCACTGAGAGGAGTAGGGACCCTCTATCGCCTCCGCGTAAGAGCGCGGAGTCGGGATGTCTGGTGCATCCGGGTCTCCCTCAGGGGCTAGCAGTACAGACGCGAGACGAGGTGAAGCGGCGGCCAGACACTGGAACTCCTCCTGCCTGTCCTCAAGGACGTCCGTGCCAAGGGCACACTCACCCCCGACGGACGGAGGACAGGCGGACTCAGACTCAGTGACAAGACGAGCAGCGTAGTCTAGACGACAGCGCGCAGCAAAGTCGACAAGCTCAGTGACAAGGGCAGACGCAGCAGACGACTCGAAGGAAGGGTCAGTGACAGCAGTAGCAAGGAGACGCGTGACAGTAGGACTGGCAGCACGAAGAGAGTCCGACTCCGGGTCGGCAAGAGCAGGAAGAGAGGAAGCAGGAGGAGAAGGCAAAGGGGCACGCAGAGGAGCAGTGGACGGACGCAGTGACATCCGGTGCGTGCCAGGGACAGGAGGAGGACGCTGACGCGACCCGCGACCACTAGCGCGCTCAGTACGAACAGGCGACACAGGACGAGACGCAGGCTCACGACGCTCAGTAAGACCTCCAGTCGGACCAGCGTAGGGAGAAGGAGCAGGCAAAGGGGAGGCAGGCTGTAGCTGTGGCTGTGACCGGACAGGCTGCGGACCCTCTAAGGGAGGAGGAGGAGGTGTAAGACCAAGAACCTGCTGCAGGAGCGGAACGAAGTACGGTCGGGGCCGCGCGGCGACACTAGAAACAGCAGGAACAGCACCAGCAGCCCCGGCAGGAGCACCCACTCCAGCAGCACCTCCAGCAGCACCACCAGAAGCTCCAGAACCTCCAGCAGCAGCACCAGGAGCACTGTCAGTCGGACCGCCAACGGCAGGCTCAGCGCCAACACCCTCAGCAGTACCAGCTCCAGTAGAACTCTCAGACCCAGCAGCTCCAGCACCCACAGTACGAGCACCGGCGGGACGCGCGGCAGCAGTACCCTCTGCAGCCGAAGAACCACCAGCACCAGCAGCACGCCTCCAGCGCCTGGCAAACCACTCACGCAGCTCCTGTGGGGAGAGTGGCTCCCGGCGAGACGAAGCACCCCCAGGCACAGCACCCCCAGGATCAGCACCCCCAGGCTCAGCACCCCTAGGCACAGCACCCCCAGGCACAGCACCCCCAGGCTCGGCACCTCCAGGCTCAACACCCCCTGGCACAGCACCCCCAGGCGCAGCACCCCCAGGCTCAGCACCCCTAGGCACAGCACCCCCAGGCTCGGCACCTCCAGGCTCAGCACCCCCAGGCTCAGCACCCCCAGGCTCAGCACCCCCAGACTCCGCACCCCCAGGCTCAGCTCCCGCAGCAGCACCAGAGTCACCAGTGACCTCGACAGGCTCGACCGCGTCTACCTGGGACACACCTGAAGGGGCAGGACCCTGAGGGGGGAGGGGGACTACCGGGGGGGGACCTGGTACCAAGAAGAGCGGGGGTGGGGGGAGGGACGGAGTGCGGTAGGGGAAGAGGCGGTAGTAGGGTACCGACTCGTCGAACGTGACGTCCTGGGAGGACAGAACACGTCGAGAGGTGGGGTGGTAAAACTGCCACCCAGGGGCGTCGGGGGGGAACCCCAGGAAGACGCAGGGAGAAGCACGAGGGGACAGCTTGTCCGCAGACAGGTCGCGAACAAATGCCCGAGATCCCCAGACCCGGAACGCCGACGCATCGCCAACCTTCCCCGTCCACAGCAGGGTTGGGGAGGTCTCCGGTCGAGAGACCCTGGGGTGGAGGTTGATCTGGTGCGCAGCGTACCTGACCGCAAACGGCCACAGAAAATGGGGAGCAGCCGCATGCATCATGGACGTACGAGCGACGTCCATGACCATGCCAATGCGGCGCTCAGCAATCCCATTCTGCTGTGGTGAGTCTGGAAGCGTGAAGGTCTGACGGATGCCTCGCGCACGACAGTAGGCACTCAGGAGGCCAGAGGAGAACTCTCCGCCTCTGTCCGAGTGCAGACGCAAAACAGGGAAGTCAGAGCCAAAGCTCCTCCGAAGCTGGAGACGAGCTGCGCGGATCCAGTCGATCAACACCTCAGTGACCTCACCCTTGCTGCGCAAGGGGAAGACTGTGGTGTAACGCGAGTAGTCGTCAACCACCAGCAGGAAGTAGCGCTCCTGACCCTGTCCACGGACGCGGGCTGGGCCCCACACGTCCATGTGAAGCGTCTGCAACGGGGCCTCTGTCGGAGGAAACTGGGAGGAGTGAGAGGCAGCACGCTGGCGCCCCTCGACACAGGGGACACAAGTAGGGCCAGGGCCCGGAGGAAGGGGAGGGAGAGACCGGGGAAGACCAGACACAAGGACTCGCGAGGCCATGCCTCTGAGCCGAAGCAGAGAGGGGTGGCCAAGGCGGTGGTGCCAGAGGAGGGTCTCTTGAGACAGAGGACGACACGAGCAGGGGGCAGACTCAGGACCAGA